TTTATTTGTGTATATGTATGTATGTATGTATGTCTCTTTTGCTCACCAGGGCTGCATAATTTGGTTAAACAAATACAGTAAAAACAGTAATGTTGTGAAATATTATTACAATTTCAAATAAGTGTTTTCTATTTGAATACATTTTAAAATGTAATTTATTCCTGTGATGCAAAGCTGAGTTTTCAGCATCATTACTCCAGTCTTCAGTGTCACATGATCTTTCAGAAATCATTCTAATATGCTGATTTGATGCTCAAGAAACATCTTATTATTATCAACTTTGAAAACAGATGTGCTGCTTAATATTTTTATGGAAACTGTGGTGAAACACTTTAATGAAAGTGATGAAAAGTACAGAATAACAGCTTTTATTTCAAATAGGAATCTTCACATTGTCTATACTGTCACTTTTGATTCATTTAATGTTTGCTGAATGTAAGTATTTATTTCTTTCAACAAAAAAAAAAAAACTGACCCAAAACTTTTGAACAGTATATATAATACACTCTAAAAAATGTTGGGTTAAATATAACCCAGCGCAGGGTTAAAAAGGGACAAAACCAGCTATCGGGTTGTTTTGACCCAGCTATTGGATCGTTTTGGGTTGTTTTGACCCAGCGGTTGGGATGTTTTGAACCCAACCGCTGGGTCAAAACAACCCAATAGCTGGGTTTGTCCCTTTTTAACCCAGTGCTGGGTTATATTTAACCCAGCATTTTTTAGAGTGTATGTATTTTTTTAAAATACCCTAATGCACAATACAGATTCATATATAGATACATACAGGTTTGTCAGGTTAATTATAGTTTTTGGCATTTCATAAACTCCCAGTCAGAGGCCATACAGATACAGTACGTTTGAAATGGAAACATGCTCTCATCCTCATCAGCCTTAATGAGAGACTTGGGGTTACACAACACAGTTTGAGCTCATTGATTGCATAAATCAGCCCTGGGTTTGTCCTGGATGCTGGCGTCCTCAGTCCTGATCCCAGCCATGTGTCCTGTCCCGAAGGGGGCCTTTCCCCGGCCTGTCCGTCCGATACCGTTCCATACACCAACTGACAGATAATCATTAGCAGCAGCAGCAGTAGCAGCAGAAGTCATCAAAAGGCTGATGTCCACACTCCGCACATGACGGTCTGCTAGTGATACTCCTCATGTGTAAATGTGCAGGCTCAGTTTTGAATGGTTTGTATTCTGGATGATCGAGAAACACACTCGATTCTGTGCACATAAAAGTACAGGAAATTCTCTATAGTGGAGCACTTTACAGCCTGTTACACATTTACATTAAAATAAAATGTTAAAAATCTTTCTAATTCTACAAGAATAGAGAAGTTCCGGTGTCATTATTTCACATGTACAAAAACTAGTGCTGTCAAGCGATTAATCGCGATTAATCGCATCCAAAATAAAAGCTTTTGTTTACATAATATATGTGTGTGTGCATATTTATTATGTATATATAAATACACACACATCTTGTAGGAAGCAGTAATGTTTAAATGCATCCAACTAAATTAATCAGAAAAAAAAATGCTTTATGAACGATATAAATAAATAATGTTTTTGTTTGAATGTTTTTAGAACATTATTAAAGACAGATCATTTTGGAAGAATGTTTGCTCATAAACTTAATTGAATCGTACTTTTTTGTTCATCCAGGATTTTATTCAGTAAATGTGTTTCAGTAATGTACATGCTTTCCGCTTTAACTGAGTGCATGTTTTTTATGTATATTTTATAGGAATAGTTTAACAAAAATGAAAGGAATCAATGGTCTGAAGTTAAAGGGTTAGTTCACCCCAAAATGAAAATTCTGTCATTAATTACTCACCCTCATGTCTTTCCAAACCCGTAAGACCTTCGTTCATCTTCGGAACACAATTTAAGATATTTTTGATGGAATCTGAGAGTTTTCTGACCCTCCCATAGACAGCAAAGCAACTGAAATGTTCCCAGACAGAAACGTAGCAAGGACATCTGTAAAACATTCCATGTGACATCAGTGGCTCAACTTCAATTTTGCGAAGCTACGAGAATACTTTTTATGCGCAAAGAAAACAAAAATGACGACTTTATTCAACAATTCTTCTCCCCTGAGTTACTGTCTTCCGCCATTTTGGAGAGTATCACAACGCATACGCATACTTTACCATAAGTGTAAAAAACGCTGATTACGCCAATTACGTTCATGCGCGCACTTTCCCCCCTAACGTAAACAACGGCGATTACGATCTTGGGTACTCTCCAAAATGGCAGAAGACGTAACTCAGGGGAGAAGAATTGTTAAATAAATAAATTGTTATTTTTGTTTTCTTTGCACATAAAAAGTATTCTCGTAGCTTCGCAAAATTGAAGTTGAGCCACTGATGTCACATGGACTGTTTTACCGATGTCCTTACTACGTTTCTGTCTGGGAACATTTCAGTTGCGTTGCTGTCTATGCAGGGTCTGAGAACTCTCAGATTCCATCAAAAATATTTTAATTTGTGTTC